CCCATCCCATCCCTCCCTGCCTGCCCCATCCCATCCCTCCCTGCCTGCCCATCCCTCCCTGCCTCCTTCCCTCTAAATCCCCACCCTTCCCTCCCTCCCTCCCCCGCGGCTCCGGGCCGTACCTGGGTGCTGGAGCCTCCCCGAATCCGGGCCGTGCTCCGCGGATGGACGGGCGCGCCCTGCGGGGGCTGCTGCCCCCGGAGCCTTGGGGACGCCGGGACAGCACCGGACTGGCACCGGCACCACGCCGGGCTGGCACCGGGATAACGCCGGGATAACGCGGGGCTGGCACCGGGACAGCGCGGGGCTGACACCGGGACAACGCGGGGCTGGCACCGGGACCGGGATAACGCCGGGCTGGCACCGGGATAACGCCGGGATAACGCGGGGCTGGCACCGGGACAGCGCGGGGCTGGCACCGGGACAACGCGGGGCTGGCACCGGGACCGGGATAACGCGGGGCTGGCACCGGGACAGCGCGGGGCTGCCGCTGCCCACCGGCACCGCCCGCTTCTGCCGGGAGAGGGGGAGAGAGAAGCGGCAGCGGCACGGCGGGGCTGCAGACGCACACGGCAGCGCGGATTTGGGGTTATTTCCTCTACTTTTGGTAGGGTTTGCAGTTTTCTTCCTGGCAAGGGAAGGGTTCCTCGTCTTTTCGCTCGGGAATGCGTTCTGGGCTTCCAAAGTTGGGGGTTTGGGCTGGATTTTTTTTTCCCCTGGGGTTTTGCCTCGAACTAACAGTACAAATGATCGTGATATAAGTCTAGGCAATACTAGAGCGTCAATTAATAATAAATGGCTTAAAGAAAGGTATTTTCAACTTTCTCTTCCATTGGTCTGAATGTCCATTCCACGTGCCCACCGCACCTCAGTGCTTGGCGACCTCCTGTGTTCTTCCACCGGGACTGACTATAAACTCAGTTTGCTGCTTTTCCTTGAACCTTTTCCTTTCCTCACAAAATTCCACTATATTTTCCAGGGGTGAGAATTATAATAATTATGCTTATTATTATCATTATCATCATAATCCAAGCTAACTTTTCTCCACAGCACCATTTTAACTTGCAGTTCTCTGTTTTTCTTTATATTGCTAGAGTGGCTATTCCATCATCTGTAATAGGAATATTTTGATTATGAGCTTGCTATAGGATCTCTGACAAGATTTGTATTTGAGATTTCCGTAGGTACTGTGAAGATGCATATGGTAAATAACAGTGTGTGCATAAAATGCTCACTTTTGCAAAGGAAAAAAAAAACTTTTATAAAGTTGTTGCACTTTGAGTATTAATTTATAATTAATGCCATTTAGGCAAGCTAGGTATATGTGGAAAAAATATGCTGGTTCAAGCCTCTTTTGATACCTTTAATTATTAAAAATCTTGTCAACTAGAGTTGACATCAAAGGCACTTAATTCTGGAAACAGTTCTGCCCATGCTTAACTTTATACACTGACCATGACTTTGGACTCCAATGCAATTACATGTTATGTACACAGCCTTTGGGAATCTGCTGTTCTACTGTTAAAGCCCATATGAGTTTTGGTTCAAGTTTGTTTGTTTAAAATACAATATGTCTATGGAAGTGTGTGTGTGTATAAAGTTACAGACATGCTTAGTTCTTTCCAAAATCAAGGCTGAAAATCTTACTACTGGGCCTAAAGTAGAAGCCTTGTAGCATAAAACTTAAGTGATTTCTAGGAAAATACATCCTGTCTTACCTTTAAACCCACCACACACTTAAAGACTGGAAAGGCTTAGTGGAAATATATGTTTGCTCTGGGAACTATAGTTTTTGTGTTTATATGAAATCACAACCATCATGCTTTACCAGAGATATTTGCTTCAGATTTTAATATACAGAAATTACTTCTTTTTGGTCAAAGGTTGGAGTCAATGATCTCTCAGGTCTTTTCCAACCTTACTGAATCTGTCTGTGGTTCTGTGATTCTAATGTCAGCATTACTCTAGTAATCGTGACTTCGTAGAAATTGTTTTGAGCTTTCTTCATTTTTGTTTTTACCTTTCATTCTCCATTATCCTAACAATCATCCCAAGGAAGCATAGGCAACATTCTCCTTGTTCTTTATGCTATTATGTGCCTTAGAAGTTTTGAAGAGAAAAGAGCTTTAAAAACTGAAATATACCTGTCTGACAGTTTAAGATTGCCCAAGTGAAAGAGGACAGGTATGTGTTTTATGTAGGAAGGAAAAGTTGCTTACGAAAAAATTCTATAAACCCCTATTTCTGTGGTTTGTTGTAAACAGTTTTCCACTGATGTTCCTTGCACTGATTCCACGCCCCATGGTATGCTGCTGCAGATGCCAAAGAGAATTGGGAGAGCATGTGGGAGAGCTGAGCATCTCCTCTCCTGCTCTACAGAGTATTTCCTTGCAAAGCACCTCACCCCTACAGCGACATAAAGCTCTCAGAATAAGAGTTCAGCCCTGTGGTTGCGGTTTTCTTCATGTCCTATGAGAAATGCAAGCTCACAGAGTGTCTGATAATGCTGAACTTGGTTACAGTGCTAGAAATCCATTGCATGACTGGAGTCAGCCCAGGAGGGCAATCCTAGCTCTGCTGCAGACAACCAGAGGTTTGCTGTGACATCAGTAGCACTGGGTGGGGATTCTCTTTTGAGACCCCAGGAGCATTTGCTATTCCTGCCAGATCACAGTACTGATGAAGTGCCTTTAATGTTTGTCCTCAGAAATGAACGTGTGGGTTACTGAATGAAAAACTTCTTACATAAACTACTCTGATTTCACATTTTCACTTAATTTTCTAATAAGTAATATTCTAGTGGTATTTGTACAGCTTTGTTCTCAGACAGTTCAGCAACAGAAAACACCTAAACAAATAAAACTTCTTGACTCCAAAAGACAGACAATCCTTGGTAGCTCAGTGGAAAGAACAAGCAAATTAAGTAGAAGTAGATTATGACTTTCTTGACTAACTTCAACAGCAACTAATTGCTTTTTGTCTTGTTTCAAAGGAGCAAATTAGCAGAGAAGCAAAAAAGCAGAAATTCTGTAAACAAACAAAAAAATTTCATTATTCAAACTACCATCCATCCCTTACTCACTTGCTCTCCCTCCAGGCATTAACACTGAGTCAGTTTTGGGTCTTTGCATGTGATACATGCTAACATTTTTCCTAACAACCTCACAATTCTGTCTATTTGTGTGCATGCAACCAAAAGAGCCAAGGAAATAAAGATTACTGCTTGTTTCAGTCTAAGTTGTGATAAATATGAAATGCTTGCAAAACTGGAAGAATTTCATTTTGTGGTTTTTCTAAGTAAATACAGGGAAAACATTATGTCCTTGGGATAGGCTTGCAAAGACCAATTGGCCCACATCTGTTACCACCTAAGGGTACCATGTTATACTAAGTTTAAATAATTTAAAATTTTAGAAACTAAATATGGAAGTACATACAGAGGATCAGGTGCTCAAAATTAGCTTCCAAAATAGAGGTACAGAAAAATTGTCCATTTAGGGAAAAGCAGCATCTCTTCTGCGTCTCTTATTAATTTTATAAAATACACCTATCAAAACTTTAAAAGTAGCCCCTTTAATCAAACTGTGTCAATTAAGAGATAAGTTATTTTCATCTCTTTGTGTTTTTTCTTTGTAACAGCCATTTTTTACATTATAACCTGAGAAGATGTTGGTAAAGGAGTGTTGACAAGAAACAAAGATTATTATATGAGAGATTAAAATAATCCTCAACAAACCCTACATCTGCTGTATTCTATTTCTGCCAGATTAATTAAAAGAATAATCTTAGTTTTTAAAGAGAATGAAAATTTGCATTTCGAGAATCAGTCAGCATAACATATTATCAAACACTTCTGGAACAATGAGCAATAAGATTCTAAACAATCTTTGGACACTGCAGTAGAAAACATATGCTGATACAATGGAAGAGCCAAAAGAGAGGAAAAGAAGGAAAAAAAAATATTTGCTTTAAATGCTGGAAAGCAGGTCTCTGCTTCTCATCCACAGCATAATAGCACACATAATACACCAATTTTGGAACAGCGCCTTTTCAATAGCAACATGACTTTCATTTTCACTGCAGGATGCCACAGGCAGTCCAGAGTTTGAAATATGTATGCTGGTCACATGCAAACATGCCACAATGTGCTGGAAATCTGCCACTTGTTTATGATTTCTCATCTTGTACGTGGCATGATCTCAACTATTTAAAGCAGAGTTAATGCTTTTTTCCATATGTATCAAAATAACTCTGGCCTTGCTGTTTATTAGTGCGTGTAAGCCTTCTCCCCATCCCCTCCTTTCCAGCTGGGTCTGTGTTGTAAAGGTTTGCAAGTAAGAAGATAGCCATCCAACAGTTTTAGCCTCAAATTTGATTACTCAGATGCTACTTCTGCTATCACAAACCACCAATCATTCTGTTCAGTGAACAAAGCAATGGAAAGAGCACGGGGAGAAACTCTTTGCAGGTGGCTGCTGTGTTGTGACCCACACACTGAGCAATAGGGCACACGTATGGCTCCAGCCAGGCTCCACACACACAGCACTGCTTCTGGTGCACGCCTTTGTCTCCTTCATTGTCACTCTGCTGCACTTGGCATCGTGTCTTCAAACCCTTCCTGATCTGATGTCAACACTTCTTCACACAAGAATCACAAATGAGAACATGGTCATGCTCTACAAGGGAGGAAGTCTCACCTCCTGGCTGCTGTCTGCCATGGCAGTGATTTAAAACAGACACACACCTTTCAGCAAACCTTCATGTTTTGCTAGTAAAATATGAGATCTGTTTAAAAAGGACCTAAAATTCACTGGCCATCACATTTATATTTTAACACCTACACACTGTAGATAGAACCCTCAGTCCATTAATCTTTCCAGAATGATGCTCTGACAAAGCAGTTTGGCTGTGAAACACTGCAATTGTTTACAGAGCAGTATCAGTTTTTTTTTTTTCCTTAGTGGCCCCATGGCTATGAGAAAACATTTGGCATAACTCTGAGAGTTTATTTTGCTTTCAGAACACTGGAAATCCACTTTCAAACCAAAATGATGTTTTTATCAATTAATAATATAATATTCCACACTAATCTAATGCCATGCATGCAAACCAGCTGAACAGACTTCTCCAGCAATGAGAGCCGTGGCCTCTCTTCATTTACCCAATAGTCACAATAAAATTCTCTTAAACAACAGAATATTCAATATTCAGAGAGTGACAGGACACAAACACACTGTAAACATAGTACCAGCTATGGCACTTTAGTACACTGTCTAAGGATTTTGGTTCAAACCTATGAATTTCCATGTATTTCTCCTATATTTCCAAATTGCCTCTTATATACATGGCTGATCCTGCCTGATCTGACCCCTAAGTCATGAGCCAACCATCCTCATAGCTTCACACACTGAAACAAAGAAATAAGCAGGGCTTCAGCCAAGCATGTGTGTACACACAGGCACCCAGAGGACTTTGGGTGATGCTTATGGAGGCAAAAGGCTGGAATCCCATAAAGAATGCTTCCTTTTGCATATATGCCTTGGGTTCTCTGTGCCCAAAGAGAAGACATTAAAGCAGGTTCTCATGCAAACAAAGGTGAACACCGTG